ATAGAGCACAGGGAAGAAAGACTAGAAGAGAAAAACAGCAAGAAGCAGGCTGTGCTAAGGGATAAGTAGAAATGGTGAGAAACTGAATTAAGGTGTTGACAATGGGGTGACAAAAAGGAGAGAGGTTCATCTAAGAAGTATTCGGAAGGTAGTAGTAATAGGACCAGTGATTTGCAAAATGAGTGACAGCGTAAGATGACCCCCAAGATTCTGGCTGGAGGAAGGTATTATTATTATTATTATTATTATTATTATTACTATTACTGGCACTACATGAAAATGAGGTGCAGCATTTTCAAAATTTGTTCAACATATTAGATGCTAATAATTTGTAAAACTAGGATTTGAATACAATGTTTCTGATTTTAGAGCCTGAGCTCTTAACCTTTGTATGGTGCACATTTTCCCTAGAAGAAAGATTAATAGGGCAGGAGTGTGCTGATTGGAAAGTACCTTTATACCATAGACTGACTCTTAATTGCCCAAGAAGGCAGTGTGCCAGGAAAGTCCGCTTGGATTGGCAAAGAATAAGGGAAGTTAAAGCCGAGTGGTGGGTTATCCAGGAGTCCTTTGTATTACTAGAACTTTGTTGGTTGTCATCCTTTCATGTTGTAAAAGTAAGAATGCTGTCAAGTGCCAGACCTGCAGGTGCACATTAAGATGATAACTTTTCAAGTTTATTTACATTAAAAAACAAAGAGGACTGTGAGGTTCAGCTAAGGTGTACCATGAACATTTACCTGTGGGAGCAGTCATTACCTCCTATAAAATTGTCCTTTCTAAAACAAAAATAATACAGCCCACTGTGGATCTCACATTTCCTTCTAGCTACTGCCTCATTTCTTTTCTCCCTTTTATAGCCTGTCTCTCTAAAGAGTTACCCACATTTTGTTGTCTCCCCATCCTTCCCTTCTAGTCTCTCTTGAACCCATTCAAGCTTTTATCCACACTTGTTAGGGTTGTTGATGACGTCCACACTACTAAACCCAACTCTCAGGAGCATTAATCTCTACAGATCACTCCTTCCCTATAGTACTGTTTTAAAATGTAAGTTTTATTATTATTTAACTATAGTGAGGTCAGCAGATCAGAGACAACTACTAAGCAAGGGCTTGCTGCCTGACCCACATAGAAGCCAATACTATGACACTGTTTTTGCAAAGGAAAAAAAAAAAGAGTTGTATTTCAAAGGTCCACTGGTTAGGATGTCAGGGGCAGGAATAAAAAATTCAAATCTGCCTTCCTGGTGGGGATTGATAGGAAAGGAGAGGGGTGGGGCTGTTTATTGATTAGATTGGCATAAAGGTTCTTAGCAGTCATCATGCCTTTTAGGTGCATGCTTATTTTCTGGACAACTGTGTTTGCACAGGGGATTTTTGAGCCTTTGATATCAAAAGGTCATTGACTGGATGGCTGATTTCCACACATGTCAGTCCTGGAAAAGACAGTTTCAGACCATCCTTGGGTAGATTCCTAAGGCATTTCCTGGAAAGCAACCTAAACACTTTGTTATTTAGGGAATTTATGTCCAATGTGGGAAGTCCTCAGCCAATTTTGACATTGAGAAGAGTTTGTTATAATCACAGGTCTCAAGAGAAAAGTGCACCATGTCACAGGAGGCCACACAGGGAAGCACCAGGATCAGCCAGGAGGGAGAGGAAGAAAGAGGGGAAATGTGGGCAGGTGCCTTTATTGCAGTTTCCACAGAAATTGAAGAAGCAGGGAAAACATTTAGGATTGGCTAATATGCATAATTTCTGTAGGCTCTGGGGTGTTGGAGTTTTTTTGTAACTGGCCCTGGGGTGGTTAAGGCAGATGGATAGTGAATAGGAAAGTGAAAGAACCCAATAAAGGAGATGGCAGAAGGTATGGACTCGGATTGGTAGGTTTGCATTTGAAAGTTGTGCTCATAGCCCTGGTGATACTGTCTCTTAGAACTGGCTAACCTTGGGAGAGCCATTGTTCCAGGTCAACAAAGGTGAGGCTCCAGCACATCAAAGCATCAGAGTACAGACAGCAAAAGATACAGCTAAGATATACTTTCACTGGCCATTTTGCCCTTCTGCATCTTCTTTGCTGGTGCCCTGTCCTCACAGAGCCTATATATGTTAGAATGCCTCATGTCTGTTCCTAAACAATTTTTCCCCCATCTCTCCATAGGTGATCATGAAACCCCATGCTTTAAATAACAAACAAATTATAGCTCTTGTGTTTTTTTTGAGGGGGGGGTGTTGTCATTGGTTTTTTGTTTGTTTGGGTTTTTCTTTCTTTCTTTCTTTCTTTTTTCAATTGGTCCATGTTCCCAGTCCACAAATTTAAATCTCTACATCAAACTTTGGACCACTTGTTATCCAACTACCTCCTGAACTTTGCCACTTGGAGGTCTAATAGGTATCACAAATCAAACAGATCCTTTCTATATTCACAAATAGCCTTTCACTGACCAAGTGGCTCAAGGCCCAAACTTAGGAATTTTCCTATATTTCTCTATTTTTCTCAAACTACATATTGATATTATCAGAAATTCCCTTCAGATCTTCTTTCAAAATACAGATTTAAGTAAAGGGAAAGACATGCTGTCTTCATGAACTGGAAGATGATATTATTAAAATGACTCTATTCCTCAAACATATCTACAGATTCAATGCAATGTCTACCAAATGACAGTTTCCTGGTTTTATTTTGGGTTTTTTGTTTTTTTGCAGAAATGATAAGCCCATCCTAAAATTTGAATGGAAATACAAGAGGGTCATAATAGAAAAACAAAAAAACTTGAAAAGGAGAGCAAAGTGAAAAGATTCACACTTCCTGATTTCAAAACTTACCACAAAGCCACAGCAATCAATACTGTGTGGTACTGAGTTCAATGAAATACAATTGAAAGTCCAGACGTAACCCTCATATCTATGGTTAAGTGATCTTTTTTTGCAAAGGTGCCAAGACAATTCAATAGAGGAAGGATAGAGCTGTTGTGTTTTTTTTTTTAAACAAATTATACAGGAATAGCTGTATGTACATGTGCAAAAGAATGAGTTTGGAGCTTACCTCATATCACATATAAAAATTAATTCAAAGTGGATCAGAGACCTAAATATATGAAGTAAAACATATTTAGTTCTTAGGAAAAAACGTAGATGTAAATCTTTGTAACTTCACACTGTGGAATAGTTTCTTGAAGCACAAGAAGTAAAAGAAAAAATAGATAATTTGGACTTCATGAAAATTGAACTACTTGTGCTTTGAAATTAAATTTCAATTAAATGATAACATTTGTGCCTTAGAGAACATTGGGAAGAAACTAGAAAGACGATCTGCAGAACAGAGAAGGTATTTACAAATCATCTACTCAATAAGCAGTTTGGCAGCTCCTCAAAAATTAAACATAGTTACAATTTGAGCTAATAATTCCACTCCTGCATATATACTCAAAAGAAATAAAAGCATATATATTAAAAAACTGTTTTAAATGTTCACAGCAGCATTACTCAGAACAGTTAACAACTCAAATATCCATCACATAGCAAATGGGAAAATAAAATATGACATGTTATACAGTGGAATATTATTTAATTAGAAGGTAAATGAAGTACTGATGAGTGCTATAATATACCTTGACAATGTTATGCTCAGTGAAAGAAGCTGGTCACAAAAGGCCAAGTATTGTATGTTACCATGTACATGAAATGTCAAGCATTAGAAATTGATAGAGACAGAAAGCAGATCAGTGGTTGGTTGCTAGGGGCTGGGAAGAGAAGGAAGGGGGAATAGGGAGTTTCTTTGAATGAATATGGTTCCCTTTGGGGATAATGAAAATGTTCCAAAATTAGACAGTGGTGTTGGTTGCACAATTCTGTGAATACATAAAAATCACTGAATTGTACTGTATACTTTTAAATTTTTATTCTTGAATTATTCTGCATTAATAATACAGGGGATTTCATCGTGATTATTTTATACATGCATACAGTGTACCCTGAACAAGTTCACCCCTCCATCCCATTCCCACCCTTGTCCTCCTCCCCCGTCTTTCAGTGTTTGGTGGGTCTCATTATGCTGTCTTCATATGTATATATCCAGCATACTTCATCCTCTTCACCCCTCAGTATCCTTTGCTTTTTTTCTTCCCCTATCCCCCTCCCCTCACATAGTCCACCATTACTGTGTATTTTTTTAAGTCTGTATTAAATGGAAAGAGAGAACCCTCTTTTGTGTATCAAGTATATTTCAGTAAAGCTGTTGAATTTTTAAAATAAATTTAAAGAACAAAGAAAAAAATGTGTAAAACCCCCAACAGACCACTTCTCACCTCCACTAGCCACAACAACCCTAAGCCAAACTGTACATTTCTGCAAAGACATTCTGCTTCTGCCTTGCCAACTGACTCTCTCTCCCAACCGTAGTCTATTGCCTAACCAAAGCACCATCCTCTCATAAAAATGCAAATGCAGTCAGGCCCTACCCCTGGTCCAAATCCTCCACTGACTCTCCATCACACTCCGAGCAGATGTATGGCTCCAACAGCTTTCCCCAGATTAAATTCAAAAGCCCCTTTGAGGAGTGAATTTCTGATGGTGGCTGACCCTGTCCCTTTTGCCTTCAACCATGAGCATCCTGTGGATTAGAAAGCCTGGGATCAAAGGTGGAAGCACAGGAGGTGGAACAGGTCCAAGGTGAGCCACCCACAACAGAGTCGGAGCTCTGTTTTCCCCGTCTAAACCTCTGAGGAAGAGGTAGTTTGAGTGGTAGGCATGCCCAATTGCAGCACTCAAGAGAGCTTGCCCGCTTTGCTGCTTACTCAACTAGCAAGTATTTTTTGAGACGCCAAGTTCTGCTCTGCTGAACCCTAGGCTCAAGGGTGTAACTCCCTGACTTCCAGGCCCATTAGGGAAGATAGTGTACATTAATCATTTGACAAACAAGGTCGGAGTTTGAGGGTCTGCTACTGAAGAAACTACGGAAGACTTCATGGGAAACACAAAGAATGCAGATAACCACAAGTGTGGACAACTCCCGAGAAGGCCATTAGAAAAGGAAGAAGAGCTTCTCATTTGGATTGAGAAAGACTGTCTCACTTCCTCCTACCCTACATCCCATCTCCTCCTGGCAATCAACCTTAAAACATCTCTTCCCACCTCCCCCAAAAGATTTGCTTGCGAGTCATTATTTTGGTCTCAGGAGTGAACAAATCACCACATCATGAGACTGAAAAAAAGTTGTGTTAAGCCCTGAGACTTTCAAATGTCTATTTCAGGTCGAGTACAGACCATGTTCCTCCTCCTGCTAGTGTTGAGCCTGGGGTCGCAGCTTCACTGGACAGCAGGTAAGAAAGGACAGAGGGAGGGAGGAGATGGAGAAGCAGGTGGTAGCCCCTAGCCAAGGCCAATAATGACAATGTGGTCTTCAGGCTGACAGCTTTCTTTGAGAGGAAGTGTGATTACTGGCTGTTTCAAGAGCCACAAAAGAATGGTGCCCAGTATGCTTTGTGTGTTCCAATATCCCCATCTTAAAGAGACAGGGACTGAGAATATTGATCCTTCTATCCCCACTATCCAATAAGAGTAATGAAAGAAAGACAGGATCAGTCAGACCACGTGGATCTGAACTAATGCAAGAGGGCAGTGGTTCAGTTACCTTAAAGATAAAATGCCAAGCAGCTATAACTTTCCCTGCAGTCAGAAAGAACAAGGAGATAATGATGAGGGAGACATCTAGAGGACTTTGTTGCTGTAAAGAGCCTCTTGTAGAATTCTTCCAATTATTATATGTTCATGTGAGTTCCTCTTTTAAAAAGCAAATGCAGCAGCCATTGGTCATTTATACCTTAATGTGGTTTAAGTAAGTTGAAAACTCAGTCTTCCTAAGCCCCAGTAAACAATGAACCTGAAGGCTGTGCCTTTGAACTTGAAAAAGGGACATTTGCTGGAGGATGTTGTTGAGCCGGAAGGAAAGCAGTTTCAGCGGTGGTTGTTTTCCTAGGGAAGATATTTTAGACCTCTGGGGTGTGCAGTCAGGACCACTATTTCAGGCAAACACTAGGAAGTAAGAGAGGAAGACAGAGTCAGGGACATGGGATTAGATCCTCCATGATGGCAGCACTAACCCCACGGAAAATCACCTAACATTCTACCCTTGGTTTAGAAATGAAACTTGATAACCTGTTTTTTTTTAATCCCCCCTGGGGTTTAGACTTAGGGTCTTGCACTTGTTAAATAAGTGCTCTACCACTTGAGCCACGCCCCTAGTCCTTTTTGCTTTCATTATTTTTCAAATAGAGTCTCGTGTTTTTTTGCCAGGGCTGACCTAGAATGCAATCCTCCTATTTATGCCTCCTGCTATCATCTATGTGAAGATGCATTCCACCATGCTCAGCTTTTATTGGTTGAGATGGGGTCTTGTGACCCCCTTTCATCCCCACTGGCCTCCAACTACAATCCTCCTGGTCTCTGCCTCCCAAGTAGCTAGGATTATAGGATCATTCTTCTCTCATCCGGCTGGTCCCAGATTGCTCTTCCAAGCACACTCCACTCCCTCCCTTGGGCTGCCTAGCCTAATCTGACAGCAGAGAAATAGACTTGGTGTCTTTCTCAAAAGAAGACCCCAATATTCTGCCTCTTTCTATCCTGTCCCCAAAGTGCCAGCTAAGGGAATATTTCATGCTTCCTTTGCAAGGAACCCTGCCTGGTTGAGACATTTCACAAAATTAAACAATATGTGTGATGATTTATGTTGACAAACTAACTAAAATAGTACTTTCTTGCTTTCTCCATAAACTCAGAATTCTTTCTCTTTCTGCACAGATAATTTCAGTTCATACAAATATTAAATACCTGTCTAGATTACAGTGCTTTCTCATCATCAGTGTTTTCTTTAGCTTGTGTCATTTTATGTATCTCTAATTAGAAAGCTTCAATGTCAAAGAAAGTTACTTGAGGAGAAAAAAAAATACTAAAAAATCTGACAAATGATGGGCGTTTTACCCTGGGAAAGGGCGAAAAAGACAATCTTATCCATTATGTTTACTTATTTATTTAAACTTTTTGTAAGTATTATGTTATTTAGGCATCATTTGTATAATGACAACTTTTTTAATATAGGGAAGCTTTAAAAACCAAATGAGAGCAGTTGGGCTACAACATCTGATCCCTCAGAGAAAGCCACGGCTATCAGATTGAGACCTCACTTCCTTAGCTGCCCCTGTGCAATCTTAGACCATAAGGAACAATGTATGCAGGCCTGAAGTACCCAGGCAAAACCCCTGGACCATCAATATACACTTTAAAAAATTTATAAGGAAAGGGTGAATAAGGATGAATATTGTGGATGTATTTTGTATTCATATATAAAAATAGAAGAATGAAACTTGTTGAGATTGTTCTAAGAAAGGGACGAAGGGGGAAGAGGGAGAATGATGGAGGAGGTAATTCTAAGATATATCGTAAGCACATATATAAATATCATATTATATCCCACTGTACAACTACTATATGCTAATAAAATTTTAAAAAACAAAAGAAAAAATATATGCATATGAATTACATCTATATGATACTTTAGGATCCTCCCTGTGTACATTTATATTTTTGTTTTATGTTTTTTGAGACAGGCTCTCGCTATATAACCCAGGCTGGTCTCAAACTCATTATGTAGCCAAGGCTCCACTTAAAGTTCCATTATGAAGCCAGCCTTCACCTGGGGTTCCTACTGGAATTACAGACATGTTCTACCATGCCCAGCCATTTCTAATTTTAAATTTTAAAAATAATACTTCAAAAAATTTAATCATTTCAAAGAAGCAAAAACAATTCCAATGCTCTGGAAAAACAATGGTAGAGAAATCATGGTCTATTAGCAGAAAAGAATATTATACAGCCTGCAAGTAAATTAATTACAGAAACATGCCAGTCCTCTAAATACAATCCTCCTGACTTCAGCCTCTAAAGTAGCTAGGACTACAGGCATGAGTCAGAGGTGCCTCAGTCTCACAACCTCAGGGTTGTAGTTCATTCTTAAAGACATGTGGATGATGTGTTTCTCAATTTTGCTCTAAAAATAATCTTGTCCTGGTGTCTGCTTATGAACACAGCTGCATGGGAACCTGTGACACGAGGAGTACTAAGCTAATACTGGACAATTGCAACACCGTGTTTCAAAAAGCAGCAGCTCAATAGAAGGAATATAGTAGATTTCTTTAAGTGGTTTTAAAGGAATTGTGTTTGAGTTTCATGGGTACTTTCTTCAGTAAGTTGACAAGATGTGTTCATTTTGATTTAAAACTGTTGGATTCATGAGTGAATTCAAAGGCACTATAATTTCTGTGTTGGCTTAAATATATGCATTTGAGTAATTGTAATTAATGTGCCATTGGAAAATAAATGCCAATTATTTCCCAATGTCAAAAAAAATGCCAGTGTGTCTATGACCTTAGTAGCTAACGTTGAGTAAAAAAAGTCAAGCCCAGAAAGATGATACACAATACAGTGTCCCTTTTATAAACAGCATTTTGTTTGAGCATACTTACATATATGAAAGAAAGAATAAGCGATTAAGAAGTACAAGATTCTTCTGTCAGTTTCTTCTGGTGGAGGCAGTGGATATATGTCAGTAGTGTTCTACCTCTTGGTGGGTTCACAGATTACTTTTTCTTAATCAAATAGCTTTTACAACTTTTCTTTCTTTTTTTTTAAGCTTTTCTGTTGTAAAATATACCATGAATACAGAAAACCACATGAAACAAGTGTAAAGCTTAACATTACACTTTTTTGTGAGCACCACCCAGATCAAGAAGTAGAACTTGACAGCTCCCCAGAAACTTCATCTGCCCAGCCCAACTAACTTCCCCTCCAAACCCTCCTCATAGCCATTTTTCTGTAAAATAAACTATTAAAGATTGCTAAAAGAAATCTTATTAACCATTCAGTAAGCATACATTCCTTATAGTTTCCAAATCAGTGAACATTGGTACTAAATTTTAAGTGACTATATATATTTCATTGGACAAGCTCTGCTTTATTTAGCCAGTCCCCTATTGATGGTCATTGCAGTTATTTCCATTTTTCTCTGGATTAATGCTCAAGCCTGTGACCTCCTAAAGACAATGGTGAATGCTAATTCTGAATATGACTTGGCAAACCAATAATCATTGCAGCTTTAATCTTTCTAGAAAGTTATATAAATGAGATTATTCATTATATGCATTTGGTGGGAGGGGAGTGTTACTGGGATATGAACTGAAGGCTTCACACTTGATAGGCAGGAGCTCTACCACTTGAGCCACACCTACAGCCCTTGCTCTGGTTATTTTGGAGATGTCTCACTTTTCGCCTAGGCCAGCCTGGTAAGCAATCCTCCTATTTCAAGCTTTCCACCATCATTGGGACAATAGTCATGCACCACCATGCCCAGCTTTTTTTCTGTTGAGATGAGATGTCTTACAAAAAATTTTAACCAGGCTGGTCTTGAACCACAGTCCTTCCTATCTCAACCTCCAAGTAGTAGCTAGGATTACAGGCATAAGCCACTGGTGCTGGCTTTGGATAACTCTTTCTTTTTTAATCATAGTTATCACCTTCTTTATTATTAGCATGTATTAATTACACATATTAATAGAATTTGCTGTGATATTTCCATACATACACACAGTGTGCATTGTACGCACTCTTTTTAAAACTCTGGCTTCTTTCACTTAGCTTAATGCTTTGAAGTTCATCCGTGTCATTGTGTGTATCAATAGTTCATTTCTTTTTGTTATTGAGTAATTTTGCATTGTGTGTATGTACTACATTTTGTTAATCCATTCCCCAATTGCAGGACATTCAGGTTGTTTCTCATTTGGGGTAGTTTTAAAATAAATTTGCTATAAACAATCACATGTAGGTTTTTGCCTGAGCACACATTTTCATTTCACTTGGGTAAATACTGAGAGTGGAATTGCTGGGTCATATGGTAATTGCAATTAATTTTATAGAAAATTTCCAAACCTTTCCCTAACAGTTATACTACCTTTGCATTTCCATCAGCAATATATAAATTTCAGTTGCTCCTCATCATCACTAGCATTTGGTGCTGACATTATTTTCTAGGTTACATTGGTCTAATAGGAATGCAGACCTATCTCCTTGTGATTTTTAGTTGCATTTTTTAGTGACTAATGATGTCAAGCATATTTTCATGTACTTACTGGTTTTTCACATATTGTCTTTGGTGAAGTAAGTATTCAAACGATTTGACAATTTTTGCTTGTTTTTTTTTTATAATGTTTTGAGAGTCCTTTAAACAATCCAGATACATGTCCTTTATTAGATATGTGATTTGCAAATATTT